GGTAGTCATGTGTCCACTGTTGTACATTTTGAAAAACTCATGTTATTTCATTAACACTCTCTATAAAATATAAATTAAAATTATTAGCAATGTCTATTTCCTTATTTAAAATTACATTTTGGTGATTAATCTCAAACTGTATACAGCTACCAACATCTTGTTTTGGCTTAACAATTTTTTTCAGACACTTCCACATTTTCTTACTATTACTTTTATTGTTATCAATAGTTTGCTCATAATATAATCTCTCTTTCTTCCTTAGTAAAACAATATTGATTTCTCATGATCTTATAGGCATTCCAACGTTCCTCCTTTAGACTACCCTCACAATGCCTAAAATTGTAGTATGCATTATTACGCTCACGTCTTTTTTCTTAAAGTTCATCATCATAAACATCATAAACAAACATAAACGATACAGAGCGCTGGTCGGTTATTATCTGAAAATGACGACCCATCAAATAATGTCTCCATTTCTTCAGAGCACCTACTATAGCGAACGCTTCTTTTTCCACAGCAGAATGTTTTCGTTCACTATCGTTTAGCTTTTGTGAAAAGAATGCGACTGGACGACCTAATTGGGAGAGAACAGCAGAAATCGAGAAATCAGAGGCATGTGTTTCGACTACGAAGGGTTCTTTTTCGTCAATTGTTTGAACTACTGACTTTGATATCTCGATTTTCAAATTTTCAAAATCAGATTTCACCTCTGGAGATATGGGAAAAGTTTTTGTATTCAAAAGTTTTCTGACCTTGTCCAAATAATTGGGTACCCATCTAGAATAATGTGCGAATATTCCAATCGTACGCTCAAGTTCCTTAGGAGTATTAGGTGGAGGTAGACTTAGCAACGGTTTGAAACGATCGGGATCAGGTGACATTATGTTGTTCTCTATTTCATACCCAAGTAAATTGATTGATGATTGACCATAGCTGCTTTTATCCTGATTTATTGTGAAACCATATTTGTTTACTGCTTCCATAAATTGTTGGAGGTTTCGGTCGTGTTCATCTTTATCCTTTCCGCAAACGGTCACATCATCAAGATAAGCGTATGTTTTCTCTAATTTCTCCTTTGAAATTACGTCATCGATTGCACGCTGGAATGTGGGGAAGCCATCTGTGAGGCCAAACGCAAGACGACAAAATTGATAAAAGCGACCACAGGCTTCGAAAGCAGTGAAACGCCGGTCCTTTTCTCTCAATGGGATTTGATGATACGCACTTTTGAAATCTATTGTGCTGAAATAGGAGTTTTTAGATACCATCAAAACTACATACTCGAGATCAGGTAACGGATAAGCATCCAACGCTTAATGGTTTGAGAATAATCGATAACCATCCTTTTCTTGTGATAATCATTTTTTACAACGAATGCTTGTGCCCTCCATGGAGTCCTGCTTTCTTCAATTATGCCGTCCATAAGGAGTTCATCAATTTCTTTCTTCATGAACATGTAATCTTCATTTGAATATTTTCGAGATTTTGTGATAATCGATGTAACATTCCTTGTGAGGTGCTCAAAAAGTGGAGGAGATTCGATTTTGGCAGGAGCTAGGTAGCAAACCGTTAAAGATGGCTTGGAACCACCAAATACGAATTTCAATTCCGAATGTTGTTTAAGCAAATCGTGACCCATTATCACATTGGTACATAAATCAGGCAGCACATTAAGTTTGGCATTATCATAATGATGACCCATTAAAATGAGTTTTGCCAGGCAATAGTTCGAAATTTTTGAATTGAGAGATGTTGAGGCCATAGAGACAGAACCTGAAGTTGGATACATCTTGAAACGACAGCTCTCTGCAAAATGCTCGGATATGAATGTTTCAGAACTCCCAGTGTCGATAAGAGCATTGTTCACTTGAATGGCAACGGTAGCCTTATCTAGAGCTGGTGACGAAGCAGCGATTAGTGCCGCGGCCTTGGTTGTCTTCCTAATGGTTTTCTTGGGGGATCTGCATACGATTGCCCAATGTCTCATCCTCTTGCAGTTGTCGCATTCGGCATTCATCGCGGGACATTGTTGACGTGATTGGTGGCGAGAATGGCCGCAAAAGTAGCATTTCTGATTAGAACGGACAGCCGCTAGATCAGCACAATCCTGTAGAGCGTGGCTAACTTTGTCTTGAGCTAAAGAACTTGCGTTTAGGTTTGCCTCACTTAGTGAGTAGGATGTGGAATGAGTTTTAGCTGATTCTAAAGTACGAGCCTTCTCAACTGCTTCCTCAAGCGTTAATGTGCTGAATTTTAGAAGCCTCAGACGAGAGTTGATGCCACGAATCAATGCGTCACGGACATAGGATTTTCGATGAGTCTCTGCATCCACAGCTGCGAAGTCACAGCTTTTGCTTAGTAGTTCTAAAGCCTGATGGTACTGATCAATCGACTCTTCAGATTGCTGTTTGGTAGTGGCAAGTTTATGCCTTGCAAAAATTTCATTCGTTGGTCTCACATATATAGACTTCAGAATGCCCATTGCTTCACCGTAAGTTTTGCTATCAGATATCAGTTGGTATATGGCGTGAGATACGAAATTAATGAGAAGATTGAGCTTACCAGCATCATCAAGATCATGGAATGAGATGGCAAAATTTTCGAAAGTTCTCAGCCAATACTTCCATTCCTGAGTGGCGGTAGGGGATTGCGGATCAGTGTCCAATTTGTCTGGCTTAAGGAATCGATCCATTCTTGAGGTCTCGGATTCTATGATGAATAAATTGTAGTGATAAACCTTTCTAGGGAATGAAGACTCTATTCATCATGAAACTTATGTGAAAGTATCACAAATAACAAAACGTCATAATGTCAGAATGACAAACTAATAACATATTGGATGATTATCTAATATCACCACATACAGTTTAGGTACCAACGCGAGTTGAAGTTAGCGTACTATTTTGCGGAGCAGACGAATGTTCACAACTGCTCCCCACTACACCCCATCATCTCTATTCAATCATGGAAGAATCAAGTACATATAAACTATAAAAAATAATCCTGAACTCCACAACTGACAGTTCGAAGAGCCAGAGTCAATACAGGAAACCCTTTTCTTGTGGCATTGTATTCATCCTACATGAAAATGTTCTTTCAACCTCTAACATGAACTATCTCCCTCCAACTGGAGCAGTTGCTCATATTCATTTGAAGGTTTACCATTAGACACAACACATGGTTTGGGAATGAAATGAGACCTGAAGATTGGGGTTGGAAAAAACAGCGGTAAGTTTCAAGCTATGACAACTCTGACCCACCGGCCCAGGAAAATGCAGCTACAAGAAGGCTGGGCTCTTTTGTTCAACATTGTGTCTCCATTGTTAGGACACCTGCAATAATATTCACCTAACATATATGAAAATGAATTATATCAACCCTATGAATGTGATCGAAAGTAATGTATATCTTCCTTTGAGCTGCTAAACTTATTTAGATGCTTATTTAGACGTTTCACATAAATTTTCATTATACGTTAGTGTGAATCAAAGTTTGGAAGCAAGAGAACAATTATTATGAAATTAAAGATGTTTTGTATCTTCCGTTTTTTTTTTGTTATTGGAAGGAAAAAAACAGTTGTGGGTCACACATGCAGAAAACGCTTCGCTCGTGCAGTTAATAGCCGCAGGCTGCTAAAACTGATTTTCTGCCCTTGTGACACAATATACTATAGATGGTGATGGTGAACTACCTGATGATTTGCTTGAGACATTGATACCTTTGGTTGTCGATGGAGACACCGATCATAGTCGAGGAGATATTGGACCATCAACCTCGAGACATCAATTATGACCATGTTTTCAATGTTTCCATCATGATATGCGATTAAAAACTACTATTTCGAATGGCAGAGGAATAAATCTCGACTAATTTGAATATTGTTATTGATATTTCATTGTGGCTCTTTCGGTAGCTCTACATGTCAACTTGTCCATTGAAATCAACTCTTTCCCTCATAATCTTATAAATGTAAACTTCATATGCAAAATCAGAAAAATTTTGAATAATTTTCAAATTGAAAGTCCAGAGCGATAGTGATGAATTCAATATTTTCAGTTTATTCCAAGCTGCTCCTTTCTCAATTTCAACTAATATGTTATCGACTAGGAATGAAATGAATTGATATATACAGACACACCCTTACAATGGGTCCTTGATGGTTGAGTCGTGCTAACAGCTAGGTAAACTATTCATCAAATTTCAACTATTAAATACGTTTGACAAAAAAAAACTGTAGATACTCATATTATAGAAAATTTGCTTCTGATCATTTTGGTAATGAACAGTATTTTACACAAAGTTGATAGTTTTTTAACTTTTGGCAAAAACTAGGGAGATGCATATTTTTCATGTTTTTTAACTATAACTCAAATTCCAGGAAAAATTTCAACCTTAAAAACATACTATATAAAGAATTCATTACTACCCCAAGATTGGTTTTGTGAAACCACCTAACTGAACTACAAATTGGAACTTGCTTCCGGATTAAACAATGGTTTGGATATGGAAAAATGTCTGGTAACATAATTGATATTTTCCACTATTAGCATTAAGATATATATATATATATATCTAATGAGGATTTTTTTTGAAACACGAAATGTCGACATTTTGAATATTTTTCAAGCCATTACTCTTGATTGATTAATAAACCTAGAGCAGGGTGCATGCAAGAGAACTGTTCATCAGATTTATTTCCAATCCAATCCGCGTTTTTATGTAATTTTACATCAACTCCTCAATGTTTCATGTAATTCCGAGTTTAATTCAATAGTCAAGTTCAAGAGTTTTCCGAGGTTCAATACGAAATCATCGATGGTGCCTAGGTATAAAAAACAGTTTCCGAGATATATGACCATTCCAAACCGTGTATTCAGGTTTCGTAATGGATATATTGTGAATCGTTAAATAAGATGAATGACCTCAGTTGAATTGTAATAAAACAATCATCTGAAAACCTAACAATAAATGGAAAATATAAGTCTAATATACCAAAATACCTTATCACATTGTTCTTCCAGGTATACAACTCTTTCAAATTGTAAAAATACCTCATCTTCTTTTTCTCTGAAAAGCGATTCACTAGACTCTAATCTCTTAGACAGCTGGTCTCTCTGTTTTATTAAATCATCTCTTTCTGTCTGAAAATAGAATCAAAATTAATGATCAACTAATACAATATGTTTAGTAAACATGTTACCTTTACTTCATGATACTTCTCTTCTAAATAATAGGCAATACTCCTAGCCTCTTCATACTTCTGGGAGAGGTGTAGATACTTGTCATAGTGTTTTTTGAATAGGACAAACCTGAATAAAATTTACATTATGAACAAAGTGGAAAACAAAGATTCCTAGCAAAGAAATCAAATTTGCATAGTTCTGATTATACCTAGTTGCATGTTTTCTATATTTTATTCCTGTAACTATCCGAAAATTACCATTTTCCTCATGTTGTTTAAGTAAAAAGCATTGTCGATCTAAATGAAAACCTAGTAGGCGACCTAGTGCGAGGAGGTATAATATTGTCTATTAATTCAATCAAAATATGTCTGTCTGTCAAGTGGCGCTGAGGACGAGAAATTGGAAAGAGCTCATTTGTTTATGTCAAAATAGACCATATTAGGTTGATATTCTCTTCTTGACGTGATATTTGATACGAAAGCGATGATGGAGAAGATTCTCTGATGAGATTAAGATGTCGTAATCATAAAATTATTTTTGATGAGATTAAGATGTCCTAATCATAAAATTATTTTCTGACAGTTGTCATTAACTTATAACTTCGTCTTTGTGGATGTGTTGAACTTTGAATTAGTATTCTTGAAAATTACAATTATACCTAATTATTTCTTCTAGTAATGGTTTTCTATTAAAGTTTGTTGATTGGTTTGTGAGTGCGATTGTGTTATTTTGAAATGTCATCTGGAAACTTCGTACTCCAGGAGGTGGAGGTGTAACATTATCAAGACATGGTTTCCCCAATCCCCACTGTTGTGAATTTGTGCCTCAAATCCTGAGGCATCAATGGGTTCATGCCATATTCATTGGATTCCAAGGGGATTTTTTTTCTTGAATGACATAATATTTGAAACTTAATGCATTGATATTTCAGGAATGGGAGTTTTTGAAGTAAGCAAACGATTTTGGAAGGAGGGTTCCGTTCCAAATAAATAAAATGATATTCAACAAGTTTGTACCTATACAAACTTTCTGTAGCAATCAGCTTATTAGTTTCTAGTTTACTAGAACTATTAGTTCTAGTATGAAAATTACCAAGAACTAACCTAACCTGACCACTAAAAATTGTTCCATAGTCAAAAGTCATCAAATTAATTCCAGAATGGTACAGGACATTGAAACTAGGGACAAAATAGGTATCAATATTCAAATTTCAGACTCATCAATGTAGTTCGGAATATGATGCTGAAGAGGAATTACTTCCTTAGGGAACACGACCTGAAGATGAAGAAGCATCTGAGGAGGAAACGGGCATTTGAACAGATATTATATAAAATGATAATAAATAATAATAAAGTTTATTCAAAATGTTGACATATTATCTCGCGTAAAATAAATTGAAAAGTTACATATTGGTATTGAATATTCCTGATGTGGTTTAATTTCGAGTTTAATTTGTGGCAATTATAGACACATCTTCTCATATTTACTGAAGTGAGTGGCTTCAATAAGATGATTTTATAAAATATAATCATTGTTTAGCTAAAAAAATATTTAACCTATATACCTTTCGTAATATATTATAATATATGTAGTGTTTTCAAACTTACTTGCCAATACATCTGTACAACAATACACAGGGTATCAAAAGACAACAAACTAGTAGAATGAAAATTGAAATAATTCTTTATAATTATATACAATTTATTAAAAAAATATAATTGTTATTTCATTGGTACATACAAGTTATTTTCCAATTAAAAGATTCTAAATATCCCAGCATCTTGACCAAGAACCCTGAACAATAGGAAACCATATATCCGAGCATATATCTGAAGATAATCCTATACAATCTTGAAATCACTTTACTCTAGTAAAATTCTGATTGGCTCACTACGAAAATGGTCCTAAGTGTGCTTGAGTGGAATATCACATGTTCCTCATCATCCAATTGATTGCTTGAAACACAAATAAATTGAATATACATGAATGTACATTGGGGTGTGTAGAATTTGCGGACTTGAATGAAATGCTGGGGACTGACTATTTCCAGCAAAAAAATCGTTGTTTTTACTGCATATCTGGATTCAGCTCAGCGAACTACAGGATAAAAAGTTTCTGATTTTATTCACTGCCCCCTTGTGTGTTTTTTCCTAAAATCTTGTGAACTGGATATTTTTGCAAGTCAAATCATTTAAATTTTCTCGAAAATCGATTAATCTCATGACTGTTTTAATGTATCTGCATGCAAAATGTATATAATATAAGCAGGGGGTTCAAACAATTCATCAGCTGATATCATGCAAAAAATGTAGATATAGGCACATTCGAGGGCACATTATTATGTAGGTAAAAAACTTACATCAATTAATATGTATCAAATTCTCCTCAGGTCTCTGATGATATTGTAGCTTGATAATAATGAAGGGATAGGACAGGCACCCAGTATTATGCAGACACTATTAAGGAAATAAGGGACTGCCTACTACCGAAGCTGGACTTTCAAGGAGGTACCTACCTATAAGCAGAATATCCATAAGACATTGATGAAATAACCAGATTGAGTCTAACCTTATAGCTTCTATATATTCATTTCAGATAGGAAATTTGCCATTCTGTTTCTAAAAAATGAATAACTTAGTTTACTTAATCTGTGGTAAAAGTCCATGGTATCTCAAAGTGGAGTGAATAGATTCATAAACATGACACACTAAGATGAATTAGTGTGTCTTGTTCAGTTTACTTAGTTCATGTAGATGTCTCTGAACTACATATTTTCTTCATTTTTGTTCTCAATGAACAGGCAATATTATAGCTCCTGCCTACTAATAACTTAGTTTACTCAGTTTACGTAGATGTCTCTGAACTACATATTTTCTTCATTTTTGTTATCAATGAACAGACAATATTATAGCTCCTGGCTACTAACTACCTAACTAGGTTGTCATCTAGAACGACTCAAGCTTTTCATCACTTTTCATTTCAGATTTTCCCTGTAGATATTAGGTCCCTGTAGTTCTGGAGTTCTATTGAAAAAATGGTTACATATAAAACAAAATCGCCGCAGGTGAAATTCTTTTTTACACGGCCAAATGTCTTCAAATTGAAAATCAGAAGAGTTGTACCAATGCACATTCTGATTTGCCATTCCTTAATTTATGATTCTGTAAAATTGTACAGGGTGAACAATTAAGAACGGCTGTCGACCATATCTCAGCAACGAATAATGATACAACTTTGACAAAAATATATCTCAAGAAGAGTGACCCTGAAAAATAGCTGGAAAATATTTTTATGTTTCTAAAATAACCGCTAGGTGGCGTATAACGGCTATGAGTAAAGAGGAAATCGAAATTTTCTCCATTTTCAGTAGTAACAAGGTGTAATATATGTGGTTTGATCCTTGATAAATTTCTAGTTTTTTTTCGTTTTACACTTTTTATTCCATCTGAAAAATTAAGTGGTGGGGGAACGTCAAATTATGTGTTTTCTAAACGTCTGTAAGTCTGGTTATCTTCACCAGAATTCAACAATCTTGGACTCGTTGTGAAGGCCTGTTCTATCAACTGAGATTCGAATTGGTTTCATATTCATATTCATATCACCGTTGCCGCTAGAGGGCGTAATCTAGAGTATCAATAGATTTCGTGATTTAAAAAAAATAAATGTGATGATATGCATATCATCAAACGATGAAATAGAGAAACTATATCCCAACAGATCAACATAATCCGCGACATGATAGCTTTTCGCTAAAGGAAGATATTAACGATCAAACTTGGAAGGATGATTAATGACAGCCGTTCTTAGTTCACCCTGTAAATATGATACGTGCCCTGAAACACCCATTTGATATGAAATGCTATCTCATGATAAATTTGTTGTTTTTATTTCATATCCAACTGTTTACTCTATTTGCCGAGCGCAGCAACCTGTTCATTACTGGCGGATATCAGGAAGATGACACGAAAGTAGCCATTAATGGAAACGGCACCCTTTCTGTTGGCATTGTTCCTGTTCAACCTGCTGATAGGCGCCAACAACTCATAGGAAATGTAATTTGCACTTTTTTGGTAATAAATTATTTTAAAGGTTACGATTTTCAAAAATTGATTGTCAAATAATAAAATTTGAATTATAGACTTCAGCAAGAAAATATTCATTTCAATCCACCAATTTATATCAGTGTGAAACCAGCCACGACTTCCAGCCATGAATTCGCCAAATATTCCAGGCGCGCGCCATACCACCAATGGTCGTTTATTACTAATATATATTTGTGACTGGCCATGAAATTACTAAAATCTTCAAAATATGATACCAAAGAAAGCAAAGCCACTTTCGAATTTCAACATGAGACACATTTCATAATTTTAGGCTCATTTTAGGCTAATTTATTACCCCATTCCCGAATTTTTTGCTCTTCCCTATCATAGAAAAATCTGTGGCTTTGCTAGCTTCGGCCGAACTCAGCAAAGCCATTTTTGAAAAACAATATTTCTTGAATATCTGATATAGTGAGAGTGTAGTGCTCATTTTAGGCTAATTTATTACCCTATTCCCAATTTTCTCGCTCCTCTCTATCATAGGAAAATCTGTGGCTTTGCTAGGTTCAGCAGAACTCAGCGGAGCCATTTTTGAAAACATAGATTTATCACCGATTTGATATATTGGGATCAAATGGTTGATTTTAGGCTAATTAATTACCCTATTTTCGTATTTTTTGCTCAACGTTTCAAACAGAAAAACAAGACAATTTGTCCAAATATGCCTCATTCACTTTACATTATGTTTTTCTATCAAAAGCATATTTTATGACAATTTCATGAGGCAAAGTGTTAGTATTGATTGTAAGCTTTTTGGATTTTTTTGCTACATATTTTTTCGATATATTCATATTGAAGAGCTAATTTTAGGCTAATTATTTACCCTATTTTCGAATTTTTTTCTCCATGTTTCAAACTAAAAAAAAACCTAAACGATTCGTCGAAATACTCCTTTATTCACTATACATCATGCATATTCATCAAAAGCATATTTTATGACGATTTTTCAAGAAAAAGTGTTAGTATTGATTATGAGTTCAATATCTATTGCATTTTGGAATTTTTAGCTGCATATTTTTTAAA